GTGGGGTCTCCTGGCTGCGCCCCCGGTGCCAAGCGCGGGCTTTTCCCTTCCAGCCCCACCGGGACCAGCCCGGCTCCCGGGAGAGGAGAGGAGAGGAGAAGGAGGCTCCCCTCACCCCAAAGCCCCCTCATTTTTCCTCCCCCTTGACCCCCTCCCCAGCCCCGATGTGCTCGGCCTGCTGATGCTCCTGACAGCGCCCGAGGAAGGCATCGTGCCTTGCGATACCCTTTGATTTTTATTTTATTGTATTTTATTTTTTTATTTGCCGGTCACACCTTTAAATCGTGGGGTTTTAAAAAAATTTTCTGGTGCTGTTTTCTTTTGGCTCGTGCCATCACCTGGACGAGACAGTGACAGGTCTGGGGGAACGGCGCTGTCCGGGAGTGTCAGAGGGGAGCGCAGGTTGCAAGTGTGTCGGGGGCTTGGCGAGGAGGCCTTGACGCTGGGTGTTTTCTTGGAGAGGGTGTGGTGGCAGCAGTGTAGTGCAGCATCCGAACTGAACGTGAGCTGGGCACTGGAGAGGGTGTGGGTGGCGTGGGGGGAGCAGGCCATTCCCTTGTGCCGAGCCACGCAGGGTGCTAGTGTTAAAAGCAAGGTAACACGCAAAGCTTCATGTGCAGGGAAATGGCCATCCCGGAGCCCCCAGGTATAAAATCCATCCGTGAATTAAAACTGAACACACCTCTGCTGCTGCAGTATGGGAAGCCGTCCCTTTGAGCTGCAACATGTTCGTTTTGAAATGCAGCACACCTTGAATGAGACATTGAAGAAGTCATCTTGTTTTTAATTTGTCTTAAGTTTGGGATGAGCACCCCTGTAGGGAGAATTTGGGCCTAAAATTGGCTGCTTGCCGGCTTAAAGGAATGTTTTAAAGATTTGACTTGCATCAGGTATGAAGTAAGTGATATGTCCTTTAACTCATGTTTTGTGTCACATGCTGACTTTTCTGAGTGGTTGAAGTCAGTGTTTAAAGAAAAAAAGTTTTATGCTATTCAGCAGGTAACCAAATTTTCCAGGAAAAGCTTCAGCAAAATCTAAAAGCACTCTTGTACTATGGCAGCATTTACTTTAGAGGCGCTCAAAATAAAAATGTAAAGCTAATTTTTGTGTACTGCCTGCCAGTCTTCCTTCCTACTTAGCTGTAGATAAAAATGAACTTACTGCTTTACCTTTTTTTTTTTTTTTTTTTTTTTTTTTTTTAGAGAGGTATTGTTCTGTGATGGAAGAGCTTATGTAATACTACTTTTTAAGTTATTTTGCCTCTTTTACCCAAGTAAATCTGGAGTAACTTTAATGATGGCAATAGAGTGACTGATGTTAGGACTTTGGACAATGATTTAAATTTGTCTTTTTCTAGTTTACTTGCCTGTATAATAAACCATTTTGCTTACCACACTGTTTATTAAGGTTGGAGGAGCTTATAGCTGGTGAAATTCACTGTTACCTTATAAAATATATTTTGGCAATTTTCTTCCCCCTTTTTCTGAAATACCAGTGAAAAACTGTTGAGCAGCTGTTGCTGAGAGTGCTGTTTCTCAGTTTGTGAACACATCTATACAATTCTTAATTATTCTATCCTTCACTACCCCCTTTCAGTTTCTGCTGTCACTTCCTTTTTTTCTAAAAAAGGCAGTGTTAGAGATTAAATGCTGAAGAGTGCAAAATAAGGTTCGGATGCTGCAAACACGTATTTGCTGATCTACTCAATGAGGTCATTTTATGAAAAGTTGAGTGCGTGTATTAAGTACTTGCAGGGTTGGGTTCTAAATATACTGGCGTTTTCTCTTTGGGCAGCACAAGAAATGAGAAGCAAAAGGTACGCGTTCTGGATTATTAACTTCATTAGTCGCTAGAACACTTTCTACCACAAGAGTAGGTTGTCTATTTGTACTCTTTTAGAAGCAGTAAACTCCTTTCCTCAACAAAGAATTAATTGTATGCTTGTCAAGAAACTTCAAACCTGTAGATATTGAAGATTTATATACTAGAAACTATAAAATTAGCCTCGGCAGTTGATTATTTTTATAACCTGGCTTGCACTGACTGAGTGAAGGACATAAAAAATGGTAGGGTCACAACATGTTTTGTTCATCCACACTTAAAACACTTCTGGGCTATAGCCTTTTGATGATCATTAGAGAAGCAGGTGAATCTCAGTTTTAATACTACTGACAATGCATTATGATATCATATAGCAAGCAAACTGCAACTTATCTTCATGCATGCAGGTACCTCTGACCTGAAGTGCTTGTCAGAGCTCTGTGGATGCCAGCACTGTGAAAATCTGAGCACAGCTTGCAAAGTCTGTGGTGTGTTGTGATAGAAAAAGACAGAAGCTTTTTCAGCATCTTCTTGTGGTTCCCGTTGTCCAAAAAATAAGTTGGTTGGTTTTTCATCTGGGAAAAAGGTAGTAGTAGTAAAAAAAGGCACAAATGCAGCAGGACATTTCAGTGACATTTTCTGCATTCTGTGACTGTGGTGGTGTACCTTCTTGATGTCAGAGCAGGCAATGTAATGAAAAATCGCTGGTGATTATAGTGGTGGTGAGAAATGAATGTCCTGTGGAGGCCTTGCAGTAAATAAGGTAACCTTTTCTTTTTTTCTTCAGGAAGAACTTGTATTAGGCACTAATAGGTTTTAATCTTAAATTGGGGGAGGGGAGAGAGAGAAATGGATTGTAGTGTCAAAAAATAAAGTTTTGTCCAATGGCAGAAGTTAGAAATGTCATGTCATGCTCATCTTGTACTCATCTGTTTTTTTAAGATGGCTCTACATGTGTCTGTTGCTTATAACTTTTAGGTGGTTCTCAAAGGATTTTTCTTCTTTAAAGTTTATCTAGCTTTCTTTTCTTTTTCAAGTAGGGTTCCAAGCTAACTATAGTTCAGCTATGTTTCCCATGCTGGCTGTTAGAATGGAATACATGCTACATTATTTATCTGTTATACACTTTTTATTTTCTCCTGGAGAAAATAGACTTAATTTTTTTTTCTGCGTATTAGAAGATTTAGATTGACATCAAGACATTTATGCCTTTGGTTCATTAGACATGATTAATACATCAACCCTACATCATTTGTAGTAGGCAGCTTAAAAAAAAAATAGTTCTGAAACAGGCATTATTTTGTTGTGTGTGTTTGTCACTACTGAAACATCAGTCAGTCTTCGAACTGTAGTACTTCCTGCTAGTTGTAAACTATGCAAAAGCTTCTATAAAGGCTTGCAGAGGATATTTTGATGAGCTAAAAACCTCTGTCTTCATTATGCGTAGCTGCTTAGTGTCTCTTTCTTTGTATGAGCAGTTGGGGCTTCAAGAAATGATGAGAAAATCAGGAAATAAACAATATACGTATAAGATGGAAGAGGAGGGAGCATGTCAGGCCACTATATCCACCATGTTAAAACAATCTTACTTTAACAGTAAGCCTCTTCATTCAGTTCTTATTATTCTTACAAGCATCATAAATGCTGCTGTAGGAAGCTTGAAGCGTGAGGACTAATAGGTTGTGAGAATATCCTATGAGAAGGTTTATTGCTGGAGCTCATGCTATATTTAGGTGCTGGTCTCCATAATTTGCGGCCCCTTCCGGTCCTATGTTCTGTTTACCATTAGTTGGTGATTCACGATGCTGAATTACTTTACAAAGATAATTAATAACATCCCAGAGGAGTAAAAGTATTCCATTAATTAACAACCTTTTGTGGAGTACTGACATACTTGGAACACTGTATTTTCCTGTTTACAATAGTGCATTAGAAGAATTACTTGGGTGGATATTATGGTCCATCAGGGTGTTTCGTTCAGAACACAGCTCGCTGATCTTGGAGAAAAGGTGACCATAATATCTGTTTGTCTATGTTCTTGATTGCTTATCTTATGCCCATACACACTCCTTACCAGAAGTTTGTATGTTTTATCCCTTTGTCATCTTATGATGCACCCCTTCAAATACACAACAGCACATCAATGTGTGATGCTAGCAGAAGACGAGCTAATGTCACCAAGGTTGTCTACGTAGTGGTGTTATGCTGCTGTTCATTTTTGTTTCAGACTTCAAATAAGTTTAAAAAATTTTTTTTTTTATAAAAAGCTCATTTTTCAGACAGTGGTTTGAATAATTGGTAAATGGCTTCCACAGTGGTTTATAAAGGGCCCCCAGCCACTACTCCCTTTAGTGCTGAAGTACAAGTTGAAGGGACTGTGGGTCTCTATATTTGGTGCTGAATTAATATACATTCATTATATCCAAGTGTCTTCATGAAACATGCTCCAATAATTAATTTTTGGAGGTCTGGATGCAGGCAAGTTGCCAGTGCATCCATCCAAAACTGGACCTCCCATCATTTTAGATGCATATGAGCTGAAATGGCAATAAATAGTAAATGTTTGCTCAGACTGTATAAAATAGTGTTGCTGCACTGCAGGAGATGTATTGTGGGAGAAACATGGGTTCATTCCCATAATAACGTAGAAAAATATAATAAATAATAAGTAAAGGTTCTTCACGCCTTTAGCTGATCACACTTAGTGAAAAGTCATCATGTAAATCTTATCATCACAGTTAGGTGGTAGACAGTATTGACAGTGGGAGCTTATGGCTAGTAGGGATACATATCTACTTCTCTTTGACAGAGACCTATTTGTTCCATGACTGTAAATCAAAGTCTAAAGACGCAAAGCAATTTGTGAACTGAACAGGACACACAACACCATCATTTGCTAAGAGTTTCAGTGTTTTACACTTTATAACACATCACTTGAAAAAACATACTTAAATGGTTTTCAGTTTGCATTGGCTTTTAACTTTATAGAAAGAAAGTTATTTACATAGTAAATCAAAGTTGTAAGCTGAAGTTTAGACAAAGTGGAAAACATGGTATTGCAAAATAGTTACTATCTAACATCTAGAATTGTTCTCATTCAAAGAGACATAGTAATCTCTGACCAAATTAGCTGTATGTCGTCTCAGAAATTTTGCTAATTTCTGACCAAATTAGCCATAGCTGTCTCAGAAATTTTTAGCGCTTCCTGTATTTTAATTTATAGATGTGCCATTTTAGGGACATTTTCACCAAAATACTTCTTTCCTTTCCTGTCTGCTTCTCTTTGACATCTGATATAATTTTTCTGGGAAGTGCCCGCTTCTTCTTTTTTGTGACACCAGTTTGGGGGTAGATTATATCTTGTGCAATGATAGTGCTTAAAACTAATGAGGCTAGTTTCCTTGTCAAAACTCTTGGGCAGTTAAATACTGAATTATTACATGTGAGACGCACTTTGTTATTATGGGTGGTTTTTATCTTCCAGTTCATGTCCAGTAGCTACTTGTTCTGACTGATAACATTCTCCTGCTTGCTTGCTCTTTCTCTCTTGCTGTTTTTTTTTCAGTTGCCATTGTGTGATACAGCCGTTCTCTAACAGACATCACTTGTTGAACAATACCTTCTTTTCCCATGTATTCTTAGAACAGATGTTCACCTGACTCATCTGCTATTTCTTTGCTAGTACCCTCCATTTCCCTCTGTTAGGGAAAATGGATTCTTACCCCTCAACTTGGTATGAGTTTCCACATCCCACACTGGTGCTTTGAATTGGTTATCAAAAATATTTTATTTCCCATGGAGTATCGAAGTAGTGACAGCAAGAAAATATCAGTACTTTGGGGAAATGAATGGTTTAGAGTATGTCAAATTTGTAAATGGAGTTCATGCTTCAGGGAGGGCTTAATTTTGCCATCAGCAGCTCAAAACTTTCTCCTGCACATAGTTGCATAAGTCATCTCCTTAGATAATTTGCCTGGAGGAGGAGAAGGAGGTGATGGTGAGATTCGTATAGTTTGCTGGTTAAGAGCACTTACGCAGAAAGTGATACCAAGGAGTTAAATCAGCTAGAGGGAGTA